ATTGTAAAATAGTTTTTTTATATGTTGCACACCGGGTGAAAAGTCAGTCGTGTAACATCGACGGTCGCTCCTGTAATGATATTCACGGGTTTTTGCCATCCACGAATGATATTGAATGAATATTCAAATTTTATATGGATGTTCCCGTAATGGTATAATCTTAGATTATTCATCTCGAATATTCATGAATTCCGTGTAAAAAACTAATAATACTCTATTCGCGAATTTTGTGTAAGCAAATATTCACATTTAATTGAATATTCATTTTTAACCGTGGATATTCACAGATCCTAGCTCTAATGTACGTAGGTCCGACACCACGGGACCAGGGACCCGGGACGTTATATGACTGACATGAGCTATCTCAGAGTTCGGTGACGAATTTAAAGGCCACCGACCGTCCGTTGATCTCCGCTGAATGATAACTCGGGCCTTAAAGATGTGGCAGATCCTAAGGTGTCTAAAGGTAAAAAATCGAAAAAAGTTTTTTAACTAAATTAGTTCAGACACAATTTAAGTAGCTAAATTGCCCGCTAAAATTGACAGTTTAAGTTAAAATTATAATAGAAATATTTTAATATATATGTTTTTTTAATTAACTTGTATATTATTTAATATATAAAGGTTTATGTTTTGCAAAAATTATATAACAACTATATATATAGTATTCTTTTTATTATATATATATATATATATATAGCTTAGAATAAAAATAGGTTTTAATAAAATTTGAAACTATACTAAAATAGATTATATACTAAAATTTTAATATACAGTACATACTGTACGTAGTGTAATCTAAAATCTGTGAATACCGTATACGTATACCTGTATATTACGAAACTATATGTTAAGAAATGATAAGATATGATTACATTCTTTGAGTCAATCCACTATATAACTGTATAGTATGTACGTACTTTTTTTCATGGTAATTTTGGTACAGACATAGTCTGTTGATATCGATTAATGCTGGCTGAGATCCGACTCGAAATTTTGGCACATGCAAGCTAAATAATAGAATGACAATAATCGAATCTAGACTTACAAACTTTTGATTCTTATGTACTGTAAAATGTTGGTTAGAATAGTTTCTTCAACACTAACCAATTAGAAAAAGCAATCTATTAAAGTTTGAAAAAGATGGGAGTCATAATGAACGATATATTTACGTAAAGCTTTACTAATAAGGTAGTTCTTTTAGATCGCTTAGTTTTTTTTGATAATGCATCATATGAATTTCTTACGTACCTCTAAACAAAGTTTAAAACCACACCCGATAAGATTTATTAGTATCATAAGACCAAAGTATTTTAAATTCATAGTTATTACGTAAGTACGAATGTACTTACCAATCAAAAATGCACTTTATACACATCTTGCAATTATCTAACTTCAAATGGCCTTATTGAGTATATTTAGGCAGATTACTCTAGCGTGGTTTGGTAAGGCAGATCGTCGAATAGCATGAAAAAAAATCAACCTTCTTTTGTAATTAGTGAATGCTATATCGAGAATTTGAATCTCAAAGTTTTTCATGGAATGTTATTATTGATCTGAATTTAATATCAACATAATATTTATAACTAAGTTAACGCGCATAAACACATCTTATTAATTAACATATATGGGTCAATTCAGTTGGCAATTCAAGAGGGATGTATACGCAGTATAAAATTCTCGAGAAGGCTTATGAAATCATTTTGAAATCACTTTAGTAATTGTGTACAACATCGTTGTTCTCTCTATGAAGAGAAAAAAAACGCCACATAATTCTTGTATTCTTTTAATTCGATCGTGTAATCTTATCCGAGAGAAACCCATCAATAAACCTTTCTTTAGGATTATCATACACAATATAATGCTTAAAATGTAAAAGATGACGCAGTATTAACGCATTTATATATATCACTTTCGTGTTAATTTTTGTTTAATAGATTCCCCGAATGTTATTCCAAAAATAAATCAGTGTTTATTTTTTAACAATTAAATGAGTTACTCGAACAACATATATTTATCTTTTAAATATTTCTTGTTTGTTTAGTCTCGTTATCAATGCAAAATATCAAGATTCCTTATCAATATAAATAAAGCTTTATTCCGATTCCAAGCATTCATTCATTCATTCATTCATTTATTCATTTATATTGATTTATTCGTTTATTCATTATTATTCAATATACTGTATTTACTTTCGGAGGTTGGTTAAAGCGGAGTTGTTCGGCCGATCAATTGTGAAATAGGCAAAACGATATGTGTCATCCTTAGTTTCAAATTTCAAACCGACCTTAACTTTAATTAATAATATTTAAGTCATGATGTTATGTACCCACTTTAACATCCCCACTTTTGGGTCATTTTAAGATAAGAATTAATTTAAAAAATATTTATTGTAAAAATTGTACGTAAAAATAGTCCTATAGAGTATGTAAATTTACTAATAGAGCAGATGTAATTGACGTACGTACGTACGTAATATAAGGTAAATTTGCATCTTTGTTTTGTTTGGAGAACAATGCTTATTTTTTTCAATAATCACTTTTTTAGCATATATATCACAAATTATTAAAGTTTTGTAAAAAAGTATACCAATGTAAATATTTATATTTTAATACACAATCATTGTTACCAAAGAATTGTTCAAAAAAAATAATATAACCCAAGATATAAATATTACTTCCCGATAACACTTTATTTAAGTGCCCCTACATTCTAACTGGTATTCTGGAATTCTTAAAATAATACTATTTGTTCTTTGGTTAATCCTTTAAAGATAAGCTTGATCGTCAAAGTCTTATTATTTACAGCGTGGGACATTTTAATATGGAATGTCTTCAAATTTTTAAATTGCTATCGGTCATTATGATATATTATATATAATTTAAAAAAATTATTCGTGTTTTTTTTTAAAAAAAAAAAAAATCTCATAGAAAAAAATTTTTTTTTAAAGTTTTTAATAAAGTTTTTTTGTTACACTGAAAAAAAACTTTTTAGGTTTAAATCAATCTTTATTCATACTACTTTATTATCAAGGTTTGCCGCCATACCTGTTAGTAAAAGTTTTTAGCTCTTTTTATGTTAAACATTCAAAACAAATGCGCATAGATCAATACGTATGACAATACTGGATTTGACAGATTTAAAAAGTATATATATTATATCTGAAACGTGAATGCTCTTTTAGACTAAAGTGTTTTTATTTTTTATATACTACATATTTTATCGTACCATTATTATATGTATACAAGTTTATTTTGTTGAGATAATCAATCACTAATATTCGGAATCAAAATGCTTTTAGTAATCCAAAACAAAGTTTTTACATGCGTTATTAATGTTTTTAAATATAATACTAAATTTTTATGGCCATAAATGAAATTATATACGTGAAAGTTTTTTAAATATCTATATGTCGTCAGCTGGTTTTGATCTCAAACATGACATCTTCGAGAAAACATCAAAGACCTTTGTTTTTGTTTGTTGGAAGTTGTATTTGAAAGTTTGAAACACTTTTGAATATCGCTTTTGTCTTTGGTTGACAGCTGATTGTGTAGACCTGTTAATATGAAAAGATTATGAAAAGATTAATAAAAAGCTTTGATCTATTAAGTGAGTGCACATTATGTAAATATGTACCTTCGCGGAAGATCTAGATCATTGGATACGGGGGGATGTGATGGTTGAGTGTCTGTATGCCCGTTTTCTTTTATATCTTCCGATTGAAGTGTTATTGGTTCCTATAAATATAAAGACGATGATTTATTTGGTTAATAAATTCTTATGATTACAAGACGCATAAACAAAAAAAAATTTTTTTTTATACATACTTCAAATGTGAAATCTTCTTCTCCTGAATCTTTAATTTTGAAATATACACATATATTAACATATATTAACATACATTAACAAAAAAACATCAAAAAAACATGTAAAAATATAGTTACCGTCCATTTGGGGTTCTTTGAGCAGTTGATCATTACGTAGAAAATCTTTCAATTGCTTACAAATTTGCTCAATTGTCGGTCGCATTTCGGGATCATCATTCCAGCAATCTTGAAACAATTTAATATATTCTTCGGGAACAATATGTGTTGTTTGTTTACGTGATATTTGTAGCATTTCCTCAACGGTTAAACGTGTTCGACCTTTGAATGGCAATTCCTCACTTGATATTTCCCATAGAAGTATTCCAAAGCTGTATATATCTGAACAACGGTCTGGTAAAGAAGTCACATCGTTAACAATTTTAGGGTCCACGTAAGGAATTGTTTCCGGTGCTTTATTGTAGTAAGTTGATGATGTATCATCAGGTGAAATCATTCTTGGAGCTCTTATTAAGGCTCTATTATTATCGATAAATACGTTTTGTGTATGCTATAAAATTGGGTAATAATATTAATTATTATGACAAATATTTACAATAAATGTTTTACAATAAATATCAATAAATATCAATAAATTTACAATAAAAACGGAAATAATGAAAGCTTACTAAATCTCCATGCACCACCCCAGCTTTATGCAACTGGCGTAATCCGTATGCTATGTCTCTTGAAATACGCAATTTATCATTCCATGATAATTCTTTATGATCCAAAAATTCACGCAAATTACCCGAGTCTGCGTATTGTAATACGAGAATACAATTTGTTGACTCTAAGTCTAGGATGAGTGTATCATGTTAGAAACGAGAAAGCCAAAATCATGAAAACGTTATGAAGTTCTAATTACCTTGACTTACTCCATATAATTGCAGTAAATTGTCGTCATCCAAGTTTTGCAACGCTCGCATTATCTAAACAAAGTTATATGAGTATTAAATATATATTCTAGAGTTACATATATATTCTAGAATTCATCAGTATCCTTAATTTCCTTACCTCATCCTCTAATTTCTTGTGTTGTTCTTCCGTATCTGCGCCAAAAATATATTTCAAGGCAACTCTCTGAGACTGTTCTTTCCATATTGCTCGTTTTATAAGAAGATTTTTTCCTGTTTTGATGGTGGCAGCATCTTCAAAGTCTGGATACTCGATGTATTCAACACCAAGTTGAAGTGCTATTTCTTTTACTGGATCATATTCAGAAGAAGTCGATGTAATAATTGATGCGGCATCGCTTTTGGCCATTTCGTTGGCGACATCATAAGTTATTTCTTCGGTCATTTCGAAAATTGCACCAAATGGATAAATGTTTATAATTTAAAATCTTTTAATTTTCTGAAGAATAATACTGAAAATGAATTCTTTGTTTTTTTTTTTTTTTTTTTTAAAGAAAAGATTAATTGTGAAAATTGTGGAGAAAAGGTTTATATATATCCAAATAATCGATCAACAATAATTTTTTCACAGGTTGGTCATACAAATACTAATAATCACTTGTGTTATAGTTCAACTGAATGCATAATGTCCGATTTTCACTGTAAACTATATATGCGTTTATTGTCAGTAAAGTGCATAAATAACATAAATAAACTCCGGTTTTTTTCAATTTACCAATTTAGAAATATATCGTTTTATCACTTTAATTTATGTGATATGACATATTATCAGCTTTATAAATTCATTATTAGTAAATTCATTATCGTTATTAGTAAATTCATTATTAGTAATTTTAAGATTGACGCGCAAATATTTTTTCTTTCTTGGTATAATTATTTAATTTTCTTTTCGGAAAACCGCTTTGAAATACACGTATTAAAAATAATGCTTCTCTATCATGTCATCAACTGTCGTTATTTGTTATATATAAAAATCTTTTATCAAAAATAAAAAATTTCAGAAAACTTTAACAGGTAAAACCGGTTTATAGGCTAGTTCGTTAACTTTTTAGGAATATTTCATCAATGAATAATGCATTACTAATGATGGGAAATTTTTCAAAATCTACCTTTCCAAGCGCTTACTAACGTTAAAATTTTAATTAAGGATTATCAATGCACGATAATTCGCAATGATGTCTAGCCTACTTGCATAATGCAATCTTGAAACTACACATACAAAGTATTTTTAGTTAGTCATACATGCGAGGGATCCCAAAATCTGTTTCTTCAACACTTTCCAGTATGACGATATTTCGGATGAAAATCATATTATCTTTATCTTATTTTTTCAAAGTCACGCGGTTTTGATATGAAGTCCTTTCTGGATTTGGGAGGTTCCTTTCGCAAGACTTGTCTGATTTTGAGATTGCCCGCCAAAGATTTTGTGACTCTCTCATCTTGTCACATCTTTACCACTTCCTTGGAATTGTAGGAATAAGTTTCTTTGTACAGTACAAAAACCTAATCATGAGTGTACGACTGATCTGATCTGATATAGCGCAACGAGAAGGTCACGATCATGATCAGGCTGAAATGATATATACGTATGTGGTAAGAGTTTCATCAGTGCCCGTACGTAAGTACAGAGAACTAGACGCAGTAGATTAATCACTTAATCCTAAGATAACAATTAACGTATTACATACATATATGGATATATAGCGGAATATATATTCGAGAAAAAAAAAAAAATTCCTAAATGTGTTAATGTGGTAAATATCGATATAAGGTTTTTTTTTTAAAGTTGAGACACAAGAACAATGATACATTATAAGTTCCGAAGTGCAACACCTTAAGTAGTAGGTTAAAAAATACTTTAAAACCTAGAAAAAAATCATGATCTGTGTGATCATCACGAGTGTTATATTCCCCAGAATTTCTCGGAACCACTTTAAGATAAAAATATAAATGACTAAAAAGGATGCCAATCACCAATGATGGCAAAACCAAAGAAGCAAAATTCTTCCAAATCGGGCGAATAAGGAATGCTTGGCTCCTCTCTCCGCTTTTAACATGTTTTATTCTCTCATAGAACTTGTATCAAGAAATCTACAATCATACTTTTATATTTCCTTCTCTTGAAACCTTCAAGCAATGTTGGCATATATCATATGTTAACGCTAAAAATGATCTTCCAATACCATTAACTAGTTATTGTTTCATAGTATACATCAATTTGGATCAATTGTATTTTCAATTACCATTCAAAACTATTTTTAAATAATGAATAGATCGGGTTTTCTAATCCATGCGCTAAAGAAAGAAACAAAATTCGATCATTCCCATAAAACATTGTGAACGACCTCAGAATCTATGCACAATGCGCGCCTGTTCTCTGCAGTGCATAAGCTTTTGAAAATATGTACGTACTTACAAAAAAATTTCGGCAATAAGCGCATTCTCTTAGACCTAGTTTGATCATTGAATGTCAAATTAGTATCAGTATTCATTCTTTAATCCCAAAATACTATAAGAATGATGTAAACTTTGACCATTCTACGTATTTCTTTTGTTATTATTATTATTATTATTATTATTATTATTCTTTTCAGCATTTAGGTCACAATGGCAGCCTTTATAACATAATAAGCATGCAAAGTGCATACAAAATTTAACAAAGCAAAAAAAGCTATACCATATTTTCCTTTTGTAAAACATTTAGCGAAATTATTATACGTATACTCATGCTTTTGCTTTAAAATATAATTATTCAATAACTATGTAAATTTTATATATGCATGTATATATATTAATATGTATATTTATCTGTTTGCATTATGCAATTAGCGCGTGAACGAGAAAATTTTAATTTTTTTATCATTACTTTTACAGTTTTATGAATCAATATTTAATATCTCCGCTTCGTATATTTGTAATGTTTTAAAACTCTAATCGACTTTAAATACTGCAAATGTGAATTTTGATCAACTAATTTTTTAAAAAAAGGAAAGACTAATCTTATCAATAAGAACCGTCACAAAAAATTACGTTACCGTATAAAATTCTAAAAAATTCTTAAAATAGAAGTTCCTGTGAATTATTTTTAACATTGCTAAACATTACGAGCGTAACTTGTTTAATTTTATTTTATTTGTTTGTCTGATTTGGTTTTGTAAAAAATGGATTTTAGTAAAAGAAAAAAGCTAATTCTGGTAAAAATGTAACTGATTTCAGCTGCATTATTTAACTAAAATCAGTCGTATTTTATTTATTTTTTTTATTAGGATTATGATTTTTACAAAATTAAATTAGCTAAATAATTTAGTGATGGGACTGCTAAAATTTGATTGTCACACGCAGTGATCTATTAAAAAGAATTGATTCTTCATAAATTATTGAATGTGACAATTAAGAATCACCTATTTTTAGCACCGTTAGTCCCATCATACGTATCATACGTACGTAAATAAATTTATATATTAATTGTTAGATTTGCTAAATAGTATTAGCCTTATCGTATTGTAACATAATACAGTGAAACCTCTCTGAGTGCACGCACTCGGGACCAGGCTTTAACAATGTGCACCTAGAGAACAATAAGAAAAAGAGCATTTATGGAAGTCTATATTTGGGCCAGAATCTGAGTGCTCATTTAGAGAGGGCACTTAAAGAAATTTCACTTAACGAGAATTCTTTAATCATATGGGTGAATATACGTCAACGCACAACAGTGGATTTAGTACCAAAAATTTTTTATAGAGGGTCAAGTCGTTTGACATGCTGATTGCTGCAAAAAAATTTATATACTGCGACAACTACGATGTGGCAACGGGCTATAGTAAAGCATCCGGTGTACATGTTATTTGAAAAATCTGCCGATGATTATCATTGACCAATTTAGAAAATT